GGAGATCTTATTTTAGATCTGCTATTTCACAGGACATAGAAGAAGGATCTGTTGGAGTCATAGAGAAGATTTCTGCACATTCCCCTTAGACAGCAAAAGTGACAGAAAAGCAAGTACTGGAACATATTTATTTATTTTATTTATTTGACTTATTTGCCATACATCTCACCTTGACATATTCCTAGAAGGCAAATACAAAATCAGACATATTTCTAAAAGACAAAACCACAAATTTGCATTTTATTTATTTTGGCCACGTCATGCAATCAAATTCAGTGGAAAGGCGGTTATGCCCAGATTGGTCAGATACCAGCAAAGCAAGAACATAAAGCAATAGAAAGAAGCAAGATAAAAAAAATAGAGAGAAAACTGGTCCATAAACCTGCCAAAAATTGGACACAATTGAAGGGCTAGCATTATCATATCACAATTCAGAGGTCAGTTTGGAATTGAAAGCAGTATATTTGCTTGCTAACTTGTTAGGAATCAATATTGCAAATCCAGTCCTTCGTAGAATATAGATTGGAAGAGACCATAGGAATCAAATTAAAATATCTCCATAATTCCACACATCCAAACTTGTCAAGAAAAGCTCTTATATTCCACAAAGAGCTCTACTCTATAACTTAGATTCTACAACTTCAAATTTAAATAAAGCAAATTTAGAGATTAAGGAAGAAGATAGATATTCTACAGAGGGAAAGATCTCTGCTTTGAAGAAAAAGAAGTAATAGGTGGTATTAATCAGAGACTGTTTACTAAGATGAACCAAAGAAGCAGGCTGTCAGCTAGAGAACCAATTAAGAGGGTACTGCATGTCTCAAATTGACAAAATCAGCAACATACAAAAAAAAAAAAAAAAAAAGAAGGAACACATTATCATATGTGGTGGACCTGCCCAGAGGCTCGAAAATACTGGCTCAAAATCCAAAATTGGCTACAGGAAATCACCAATGAACAATTAGACCTAGAACCAGAACTCTTCCTATTGAGGATCTTCAAAAAAATACACAAAGAGTACAAAATACTTATTATTACACATATTGACTGCTGCTAGGATTGCCTTTGCCCAATGTTGGAAACAGCCATAGACACCTGTAGAGGAACTGGTTATGCAAAAAGTTATGAATTGTACTGAAATGGATAAACTAACGCTGAGTTTAAAAGATAAGGAAGCTTCAATATTTTATAAGGTATGGGAACAATGGTATAGCTGGATAGATCAGAGATAGATTAAGGATAGGTAATCATTAAATATAGAATATAGATAGAATAAGAATATAATTATGCACAAATTAATACCTGTAAATATAATTATGCACAAATATTTTTTTGCTTATAATGTTAAGTTTACTTATTGTGTTAAATATACTTTGGAGTCAAATTAGAACCTTAGTTCATCAGCCACGTGAAGTCATTCAAGCTGTTTTGCAACAGATAATGGGATACATATAAAAAAACAATCTCATTTGATTGGGTAGAAGCTGATATATTGGCTTCTTTTCCTTTGCTAAAAAAATTGCTTGTTTTAACATCTCTACCACTTGAAGTGTGATGCAAAATTTTCTCTTAAGATTTCTAGAAATGGTCAGCTAGAATAAATGTTAATTAGCTTTGAGGGAATTCAGTCAAATCCCTGTCCGAAATGCCTAGGCTGTATGCATCTGTGCATGTGTGGTCTTGCTCTGTTCCCAGCTATCACTTGCTCTATTTTTCTGACATTGTATTTTTATTGTGTATTATTTTATTGTGGAAAAGTTAAGATAGTTTAACAACTGTTTATTATTTTTAAGTCAGCTCATTCTATTCATTGTGACTGAGACAGATCAGTGACATAAGAAATCCCAAATATGATTCACTAGGTGCATTTCGTCAGATTCAATAATGATAAATTAAAAATAATCCACATAGATTTATTAATGCAAAGATAATTGTTGACCAGGGCTAATGCTACCAGGTTTGTTTTCCTAACCTTTAGTATATTAAACAATGATTCACAGTGTTGGGACTCTCCAGAAAATAAAGTTTAAAAATCTACCAACCATTAATTCATTGTGGTCATTGTAATTTTTATAAAATACATTTTCCTCAAGAAAAGGTTTAATATATATGGAAACTTTATATCATTTCAGAGCATTTTAAAAAACTTCATGAGATCTGCCTTTTGAAAATAATTTGCCTGCAAAATAGTTACCTGAAAAAAAAGTGTCTCAGCACAATTGTCCTGAATTATTATTATTATTATTATTATTATTATTATTATTATTATTATTATTCACAGTATTATTAGTTGTTAAAAGTTTACAAA